TTCAGTCACCATGCACCTTTGATACCATAATCTAATAGATAAGCCTCAACCCAACTTTTTGCCCTACACTGCGAGTTAGGAAGCACATCCAGGGTTGCAAAATATGCCTTTTTTGTTGCTCTTGTTGTTGGTTTTTGTTTATTTGTTTTGTTTCATTTAGTTCCTGGAACTTCAAATGTTTTGTAGCCAAGAAGCCTGTGGGATAAGTAGCATATTCAACCCCTCTTTCAGTCACAATACTATAGTTACATTTTATAGAATTTCCATAGATTATGGAAAATGTTCGCTGAATCCAGGGACAGCAGATATGACGCCATCTGGTTGGAATGCAGGTTCAGCAAGGGGATTTGCATGCATTAGTCTGGTCATGTAATAAACTGGACAGCTGCAGACCTGGCAGAACTTGAAAGATGTCAGGTTCTCCTGACTCCATGACCTAGGCTCAGAATCCTAGAAGAAAGTTCATGATAAAAGGAAGAATGCTAAGTAACTCACCTTCAGTCCATACAAGAACAATCTTGATTCAAGTCAACAATCATTGCCTTGATAGAAGGGAGTTAACCATCAAATATGGTGAAAAATAAGTTTTTGTTTTTGTTGTTGTGTTTGTTTTTCAAAAGTGTGAGGTAATTTTTATTACATGTTCACTCATCTGCAATAAAAATTGTACAAAGTAGATTCTTCTGCCAATCACTTCAGTATTAACACATTACTATATTCATTACACAGAAACTTTCAATATATTTTCACTAAAGAAAGGCATATATTTCAACATATTTGAGATAATAAACTAAGTTATTTATTTTAGAAAAAGTATTTGGTAAAACATCATCATTAAGCTTTGCAATGTATCCAAGTGAACATGTTTCAAGTATTCTGTTTAAAGATGACCTAGAACAGGTACAATAGAATATAAAGAGAAATGCTCACTTGATGAAAGATTAAGAAATTCAAGAGCTGTGACTCATGAAGGGAGTGATCATAATGGCTTAAAAATAGGTTAATTTTAGTTGAAGGTATGCTTTATTTGTAGATGTAAAATAATCTCATTATTACTTGGAGAACAGAAAGATATGTCACCTGCTTCTTGACAACATTCAGGATAACACAGGTCTTTTCAGGCTGAGTAAAGAATACCCATCAGCAGAAATGTGGCAGAAACAGATAACATATGCTTTTTAACATACTAATTGTCTGCACTGATGTCATTTGCCATTAGGTGTCTCAGTGTGTCTCTTTCAATTCAATTTTAGAACATGCCTCCTACTAAGCATGTTAACATATACTTATTAAATATTGCTGTACTGCTGCATTAGGATCAATGTGTTGCTGACTTTAAACCTTAGAAAAACTTAAGGAATTTGGTCAGTCATGTTTACTAGAATCAAAGCAGGCTTTTTTTTATGTGCTACTATCTGTCCCAAAGCCTAACTTAGTGTTCTTTAGTCATTGCTTCCTGTATTCAGTATTTTGTCTCTGAACATTTGTAGCTTCAAATGTTGCCATTGAAATGTTGCCATTGAAATTATTCTCATCCTATAAGACTGAACAATATCTTCTATTTTCCACTGGTAACTGCCAGCAGTATGTATTAACACTGCTTTTACCAATTAGGAAATCTCTTTGCATTAGACTACACAGTGCAAAGTGAAATGGAGCACAGCTTGAGCTGCAAAGAGAAACTCTGTAAGGCACTTTTGAAGGTGTTGTGATAAAAGATGAAATTTAAATTCCAGTGCACTAATAAGAGAATTATATGGTTTCTTGTAGGATTTGGTTTCCATATTGCCAATATATATCTAATTTTACATGAACAAACTAACTGATTTTTAAAGATTTTCAAAATCTGATTTTCTCAGATTTGTAAAGTTGTAAGCTTACATATTTCATCTATATGTATGTTTAGATATTTCATCATTCATCTTAAATTAAAAACTTCAGTTACTAATTTAGTGCTATCATGCAAAAAAGGTCATCTTATTCTAGGCTTCCACATGTTGTTAATATTCTGCGAATCTTTAAGATTTCTAAATCTGTAGGTGAAAAGAACAATAGTACCAACAAGTGAAAAATGGACTGGACCTATTCATTTATATGTGCAAAAGAGTAAAAATTCATTTGGCTAGAGAATGAGTGCGAAATTCTCCCTTTGTGAATATCTCCCTTTGAGACAGACATATAAATATACATACTATCATTTGGCTCAGTAACATAGAAAAATTGACAAGGCTGGACCCTTGTATGTAGCACTGGTGAGATCACACCTCAAATACTATGTTCAGTTTTGGGCTGCTCACTATAATGATATTGAGTTGTTGAGCGTGTGCTCAACAGAAAAGCAATGAAGCTGTTGAAGGGACTAGAAAACAAGTGTTATGAGGAGTGGCTGAGGGCACTGGGGTTGTTTAGTCTGGAGAAGAGAAGGCTGAGGGGAGACCTCATTGCTGTCTACAGCTTTGTGAAGAAAGGTTGCAGGAGCAATAGGGAGAGAAGACATGGCCTCAAGTTAAGCCAGAGGAGGCTTAGATTGGACATATTTCTTCACTGAGAGAGTGGTCAAGCATTGGAACAGGCTGCCCAGCGAAGTGGTGGAGACACCATTCCTGGAAGTATTTAAGAGATGTGGATGGGGCATTTAGGGACATGGTTTAGTGATGGGATTCCGTTGATGGTTGGACTTGGTGATCTTGAAGATCTTTTCCAACCTAGATGGTTCTATGATTCTGTAGTTATAAGAGTTATAACCATAACTTAGACTTTTAAGAAGCTGAAATAACTGTGAAACAAAAAGAAATAAAGAAATAACCAATTTAAATGTGTAAGTCACATTAAGCTTCTTCAGTAAATGGATGTGGATGGATTCAAGAGGATTCTTGAAGTAAAGCTGGTTCATGCTGCACACTGTAAGATCGCATTGCACACTGACAATCTCTTTTTTTAAAAAAAAAAAAACAAAAAACACACAACTATGTTATGCATAACTAAGGCAGCAGAGGGAGCTCAGAGATTTTGGTCATCAGTGAGCAAAACAAAGTGAAATTACACTGCAAAGAACAAATATGTAAACAGCGAAGGGCAGGGGCTGATGTACTCTCTCTTCTTTAAAATTAATACATGTACACTATATGCATGTCCCATTATTCTGCTGCTAGTTTTAAATACCGTAGAGACTTCAAGGTACCACTTACTGGCCAGGTCCTGTTTTGCATTTCTTACTTATTTAAGCTCTTCTGTTTATAGTTTGTATAAAAAAAAATAATATTAAAAAAATAAAAATCAGTGAATTGATATTTGTTCAAGAATGCAGAGATCCAATTTTTAAAATAATGCAAGTTGTTTTTAATTTATTAAAACTCTTTATGCTACTTATTAATTTCTTTATACTAAGTGGTACTGAAAAGAAATGTTTATTTATTTAATTATTTATTTAGAGAAAATGCACTTGAGATGTGACCTGAAATATCTTAATCTTAAATTCAGGACAATTATTTTAATGGTAACAACTTCAATATTCAAAATATCCTTTTTAGAGTGATTTTTTTTGCTGGATCTTTGTACTTTGCTGACCCCATGTTCAAGCCATTAAAAAGTAGCTGTGGAATGCTATTCTAATCATGTGGGCATTGCTTAATCCTCTGATCGAACCTGAATAAATCTCCTTGGACACCATGTCAATCTGGGATTTGCAGCCTGGCAAGGGACCCAAGCTGAAATACAAATTAAAGTAATTTTCTACGTGGAAAAAAATTGCCTTCCTCTTTCAGTATCATCCACCACTATATTGTATGGCATGTAAAGATCAGGCAGCTCTGGATATCACTTTGGATAGAGAAGACCTATATATTTCAATATCAGAATTCATTGGATTAAATTCCTATATAAGGCTCCTTGGTTACATTTAAACTTTTCATTTTTGCTCTTACTGGTAAATCAGAAGAATGGCTTTTGGTTAGTATTATTCTTTTATTTATTTATTTTTTTATTAATCTTCTTGGCTAGACCAATCTTTTTTTGGCCTGTGTTCTGTCATTCCAAGTATATATCCTGATCCCTGAAATTGTTGAGATTTCAGAGCATTTGCTGTATTTGGATTTTACAGACTCCCACAGTTCTTCCATCATGTCTCTATTTTAACCCAGTTTGACCTCAACTCACTTTATAACTATTTTCAAATATGTTTATTTGCCTTTCCTTAAAAAATGTGAGGCACTTGTATGGAGAAAGGACCTATATAACTTCTCTCTCACCAACTTTTAACGGGTAAATCTGTGATCCAAGTTATTAACAGATATGTTTCACCTGCTAGATAGAATTGTCCAAGTTGTTCTTGTCAGTTCATAGCTCAATATTTAGTTTTGCTGTCTTTATACTTTGACTTCTCAGTCTCATTATGTCCTTCAAATCTCCAGTCTTTTTATACTCTATCATTTGCCTTTCTTTAATAGACAAATTTTAAGTATATTTACAAAAGTTCTGCAGTCCACTTATATTTACCCCACTCATAGAATTCATAATTAAATTTTATATATCAGTTAATCATTTTAGTTATTGTATTATCTCTGTGCACTAGTTCTATAAAAGAACTTGTTTTTAAGTATACATCCCCATATGTACTGTACGTAAAGAACTGTAAAAATATAATTAACAAAATAACTTAATGAATGGACCTTTTTGAGGTTAGAAAGGTGGAACACTATAGAAACTAATATCTATCTAATTGAAAATAATGAATTCACTACAACTATTAAATAAGACCTATGGATAACTAAAAATAAAAACATTGTGTTTTTTTTTTAATGTGTGTTTAATAGTATGATAATGGATTTTCTGTTACAAAACAAAAAATAAATTGCTAAGTTAAATGTTCTCAGTTTCTGTTTGCAGAAGAGGATTTCCTTCTTTATTTATTTTCCATTTGAAGAGAAGTCTTAGCTTGCTTTTAACTTCATTAAATAACTTTAACTTAAACTTTAAACATTGTTTGAGGTAAAATATCTTACCATGGTTGTCTCTGCAATGGATCCAAAGCTGTTTATAAATATGTTGCATGTGACGTTAACTGGAGGACCTGCAGAAGGAAAATAAAACACCAGACAATGTTTCAGAATCAATCGTTTTTGAGTGACTGTAAAATATATTAACATACTAAATGATTATGAAACAATGTTTTTTGACTTAGGAGAAAATAATGCTACATTCAAAACTAATATAATGCAAAAATTTGAATGGTTTCTAGTAAATAATAGATTTTCCCTTTCAGTTCTTCTCAAAGGTGTACTACTTGGCTAGCCATTTCATTATGAATTTGCATGGAGGATTCTATACCAAAAAAAAATAGAGAGAGAGAGAATATTTAAAAGAACATTTGATTTGAAATGTATAGCCAGAAGTATTTTTATGTGTTTTTTCAGTGAAAAATGTATGCTACTTCTCACAACAATTAGAGTGAAAAGTCACCTTTTCCACTCAAGGCAGCTGTTACTTTTAACATTATCTGTCATCACTGGAAACAGAAATACATTATTGCTGCTCTTATCTCTACTGTTGACAGGAACAAATGTGGATAAGAAAGAATAACTTGGATTCTATTCTCATTTCTCCGAAATCCACAGAATGGTTAAGAATCCATTTAAGCTGAATTTTCTGTTACCACGGATCTTCAGCCAACTGTTGTTCTGCCTTATCTTTGATTTGTAAAGCATCAGTAGTGGCAGAGCAGTCATTATGATAACTGAACAATAAACAGTCTCTTCATGGAAAAGGTTTTAAATTACTTCCCTGCAAGTCTCTGTGAAAATGGCATTGCACTATAGCATGCTAATTTCTCCATTATTTCTTATCAGTTTAAGTCTATGTGCTATGGAAACAAGGTCTTTCCATCATACCATTCTTCTGTCACCCTTCTGCACCTTGAAATTCTTATATCAACAATTCAGTTCGGCATTGGAGTTTAGCTTTCTAGTTATAAGCAACCATTAATAATGAAAGATCCATACCTGGAATTTGAAGACTGGTATTGCAAACACTCATGTAATATTTATTTTTTAGTCACTGAAGTAATAGGCAGCTCTGCCACCATTTGTGCTTTACAACTAGAAAAATTTAATGTGACCAATGAACTTGATGTTAAATATTTGAAGAATAAAAACATTCATTAAAAATTCTGCCAACAGGACAAAACTTTGAACGTCCAGCTTTCTTTCTTCAAGGCAGTAACTGTTTTGAAGTACTGTATGGGAATTACAACAAAACATCATTGCATGTACTTGTACTGCATTTGCAGTCACTTTGGCACTACAGTCATTTTGATACTTGGTTAATTATTCAAAACAGTTGAGTAAATCCAATATTTAGAATTCAGTGAAAGCTTGCTATGAAAAAACTCCTGAAAAAGATTGAAAGAAATGAAAAAAAAAAAAAAAAAGGAGAGATGAACAAAGAGAGAGGCAGTAAAAACTATCAGGGAGAAAATTGTATTTCCTGGTAGCGTCAGATTATTTGTTTGCAAAGCTTTACTTTCTAACACTTCCATGTTGTAGTACTTGTCATTTCTTTCAAATTTGATATGACATTATCTTGTTTAAAGTAGTACAGTAGAACTACTAGTATACTAATATTGCACTTTACTAACACAGTAAATTATAAATGTGCTTCATCAATATTCATGATTGCTTTTATAAAGAAAAATAAATAGATAAATTGATACAACACTGATGCTTAATTTCAAAAGCAGCCTTACAAAAAGACAAGTAATAGCTAGTTAAAAAAGGGATAAAAAGAAGCTATAAGCAGCTTGGAAGTGGTTTAGACATTACTTAAAGACACTGCACTCAGAGTAAAAATGAACCTCCTAAAACATGGTCAAATAGAAGTATAAATGAAGCTGTTAAACCTGGAAGTCAGGTTCAAACATATGAACCTAGGCAAGTAAAATGTAAATTAAAGACAGGTCAAAAAAAAAAAAAAAAAAAAGTAGAACTGAAGCTTAGTAGAGACAGAAAAGCTAAAAGTGATAACTTTCTTTAAGGCATTAAAAATAGAATACTGCCAAGACTGGAAGGTGAAGTCGAGGAGATGATTAAGATACAGAGGTATCCATGAAAATAGAGAAGATCAGAGCAGAAAAACTAAATTAAGTCTTTGGAGTAGCATTTGTATTCTGTTGCTAGCCTTGTCAAATACTAAGCCATTCTGATGGAAGATTTTGTATGAGGACTGTAGGATTTCCTACGAAAAATGGTTTGAGAGAGCTGGGCTTTTCAGCCTAAGGAGAAGGCTCCAGGCTGACCTCATTGCGGCTTTTCAGTACTTAAAGGGGACTTACAAAAAAGGTGGAGATCAACTCTTTGCTCAATCAGATAATGACAGGACAGTTTTAAACTAAAAGAGGGGATATTTAGATTAGGCACTGGGAAGAAATGCATAGAGGGTGGTGAGGCAGTGGAACAGGTTGTCCAGAGAGGCTGTGGATGCCCCATTCCTGGAGATGTTCAAGACCAGGTTAGATGAGGCTCTGAGCAACCTGATTTAGTAGGTGGTGTCCCTGCCTGTGGTAGGGGGGTTGGGAGGGCCTTTAAAGTCCCTTCCAATCCAAGCCATTCTATGATTCAATGATTTTTGTATTTTAATATTGGAGAACAAAGGAACTGGAACAAACTGACAGCCTGAGGTGATATTAAGCCAGACATTGTAAAAATTGTTGCAATATTGTAAGTTGAAAGCTAAAATAGTAATTACTGTTAGTCAGCTATCACCTGTGTCAATTTTGTTATAGAAAGCAGTGTGTATCACTTCTGGCTATAATTTGAATTAAAGAAGAAAAAAGGTTTCTGAGGATGATGGTGGATGACATTAACAATAAGCATTATCCCTGTAAACCTTAACTCTATACCAGCCAAAGTGAAATTATGATAAATGTTATAATTAATAGGTTACTGGATTATTTCTAGTAATTCTATTACTAGAATTATTCTACTAATTAATAAAATATTAACATTATTTTAGCTGAAATACCATCTCTCAGATCTATTGAAGATCTCTGAAAGAGCTGGTAAGCATGCGACCAAAGGCAATCTAATTAATAAAATACTTAGTTATAGCTTAAATTAATTGAAATAGTTTATTCAGATTTTCAAGTACTTCTTAACTAGATCTTTTGTCAAAGGCTTTTTAAGGATATTAGTCTTGGCAAAATGAGAGAAATGAGGTCCTCTTACAGATCTTTTGTTTTAAAATATTTTAATGGTAGGATTAGAAAGCTATTTTTAAAATTATGAGGTGATTGTTAATGAGTTATCCTATAGATCTGAACTGTATCATTTTAGTTCAATATTAATGACCTAGAAAAGAAAGGCACTATAATTCTGGTATTTTGTGTAGTTGTATGTAAAGCTGAATGCAAGGAGTTGCAAAAAGGTCACAATAAAGAGCTATCAAGGTATAAATGTTTGATGAAATTCAGTGTCAATCAAATGGAAACCAATCTTTACTGTGTATTTGTACTGATGGGATCCAAATTAACGATTTCCATGCAGGAAAGAGAGTATAGATTCATTATGGATGGTTCTCTGAAAGTATTCTCTTCAGATATCATTAAAGATAGGAAAATGCAAATAAATATATCAAAAAAATGGACTGCCATATAAGTGAACTTCCATCTTAAATACTTCAAAATATTTTTCCACCTCAAAGGGAGAAAAAAAGTGTCAAGAAGGCAATGTAGGATGTCAAGCTGCTGCCACACAAAACCAACATAAACAAGACAGCACTCCTAGCATTGAAAAAGGAATATAGTTGGGAGCAATATATAAGTACAAAAATCTGTAAAGATCAAAAAAGATGTGAATTTCCTCCATTTCTGAATAAGTCACATGGCAACAAAATAAAATAGTCACCAAATTCAAAGCAAATAAATAAAAAAAAAAAAGGTTAATTTGCATAATTGCAAAACATCACAATTTAATTGCCATAAAATATGGAAAAGGCCAAAAGTATGTCCTGACTTAAGTAGTTCCTAAATTAATGATTGCTGAATACTGTTTGGCAATATCAAGGCAAGGAACACTTTATACTATCCTATTTAAAAAATAATAATAATAATAAAATAAAAAAAAAATGGATAAACATCTAACTATAGTTTTGATTTACTACAAATAAAGCTATTTTGAAACTGGAACAAACATTTTACAAGAGTTTTTCATTTCTGTTTTATTTCACACCTAAATGAAAGTGAATTGCAAAATTCCTTATTCAGAAGTACAGCACTCAGACAAAAGGTATAATTTTGTGTTATTGACCAAGTTTAATCATGACAAAAGATGTTAAAAATATTCTCTAAATAGAATTTTTATTGACAGCACAAATGATTGTCTGAGATCTCCTAATTAGGTCTGTTTCTTTAAAACAGTTGCCAAATTAAAAATTCAACAAAGCAAAAAGTTCCAGTATTTGTTCTAGGACTAATAAAACTAACCAGAAAGTGGCAAAGTCGCTTAAGGAGATACTTATTCTTAGTGATAGATCTGAATCATTGTGGGCAGATTTGTTCAAACTGTATAGCTGTCTAGAAGATTTAGAATCTTAACATTTTGAAAAAGAACAATGTCAAATTAGGTTTTGTCTCTTTAAATCTTAGTAGTTACAAAACAATGCTCTAAGTCTTTTGAATTATACATTCAAGAATATTGCGTTGAATTCACTGTTCTCTAAACCATCTACCTGTTCTTCACTGTAGCCCCATCAGAAGATTGTGACTGCATTGTGACCATGACAAACTCCAAAATCTGATCCCCATTTACTACTAAGCTGTAAATTCCTCATTTTTAAGCATTTGTTTTTAAGACTTCAGGAGACTCAAAGAGAGATAAAAAACTGCTGTGCGTAGACTTTGCCTGGAGTCTTATTTTGCTCTGCACAGTATTACTGTTACGATAAACTGCAGTTTGCATGCTAATAGAGCATATTAATAATGAAATAAACTATCATAGCAAAGAAAAGCAAAGAAATGGGCTTTTTTTTGTATTTTTTTTTATTTTTTTTTTCCAATTAGAGTATATTTCTTGGCTTCATATTTATTCCAGAAACTTCAGTTTTGTGACAAGAAATACTGGATGACTTAGAAGTATAGGTTTGAAATTACCTTTGAAATTTGGTCTTATCCTTGCATCGTAGCCCGACATCCTGCCCATTAGCTTATCCAGGAAATCAGATGGCGACATTGGCATGCTACGAGATCTTGCACTGTCTGTTTCTTTTGTGGCTACCAAGCTAAGAACCAGGAAAAAAGACAAACAAAGCAAATAACAACGACAACACACACACACACAAAACACACAAAACAACAAAATATTTTGTAAGAGATTTTGTTAGGAAAATTTTCATTTTATAGAGCCAATCACTTTGCTTATTATTATATGAATAAGAAAACAGCAAATCTAAGATTGCCTTTCATGCTAGTTTAAGCTCCAAAATTAGTAGTAGCAAAGAAAGGAAACAGTAAGTTCTCTTTGTATCTGTCATTTTATATGCAAATTTTATTTTAATAAACTGCATACTCTGTATACCCTTCCTCAGAACTTCTGAAAATTAATAACACTTTATTAGGAAAAATTTAGGAAATTAATATTTATTAGGAAATTAATAACAGTCAACAGTTATTGACACATTATCACGAAGTTAAAAAAAAATGCATGCATGTGGAATGTCATAGTTTGGAACCTACCCTAAGATTGGTCTGTTTAACTGGGAGTAATGTAATATGAGCCTAGATGAGAAAAAAATATTGTAAAGATCTTTCATAGAAGAGTACTACCACCACCATTTGTTCTTCAGAGAATGTTTTATATTTGTACATAAAACAATATATCAAACAGTCCCTTGGCAAATGGTATTTTTTAACATTGTCTTAGAGGTTCATATTCTATTAAAACAAACATGACTGCTGAAAAAATACTGAAGGAACTATCTTAGGGCAAAATTTTCATCTTAGGGCCACATGGAAAATGTCATCTCCTATAGCCTCCTCTCCATATGTATGCAGAACTCCCACTGACATTCTAAAGTGTGTTCTGCACATGTCAAGAGAGAAGAATATCAGCACTGTGATCAGCCATGTGGACCTGAATAAAAGGACTTTATTGTTGTGGAACTCTTACTCAACTGCTGGCCAACACATTATAAAAACAACACAGTCAGTAAATATACATACAAATAAATTTGTAATTAACATTGTGATACACAGTGCAACTAAAATCATTCCTTGGAGAATGGCTTTGGAGTCTAAAAAAAAAAAAAAAAGATAAAGAAATTCTGATAATTGTGCTGATTTCCAGTCAAAACTCTGTTTCAAAAGGATGTGAATCTATTCTATTTAAACCAGTCATTGTCTCCTAATAATGTCAATTCATTCATCTAGAAGTGCTTAAATATGCCTTTGTTTAGAGATGGACACAGGAAATTATATAAAACCTTTGGGAATTTTCTAGAGTTATGAAAAAATTATGTGGATCTTTGCTTGTTAACAATGTATGGAGTTCCAAAACAGTAAAAACCCCACACAGGTATGTGCGCATACAGTTGTCATGGTAAGGGCAGACAGGGAATGCCATTTTTTTCAAAAAAATAAAAATAAAAAATTACCAAATGTTTTGGTAAAAAACAGTACCAAAAAACATCTCCAAAAACTACATTACTTTGGACTTGTGAATTTACCATTTTTATAGCAATTTCTAGAGGGGCTACCAAAAAATCTGTCTTGAAATTAGATATTTGCATTTAATATCATAAATCTAAAATTCTTTCTTATTAAGTATGACAAATTTGGATGCTCACAGAACACGTACATAGAAACCTCTAGAATTCTGTGGTTTACTTATGTTTTAATTGAAAATTGCAATTAAGTCTTTTAATTGTGATTTAACTAAAATTATTTGAATAAAATAAAAATTTCTCTGCTTCTAGTGAACTCTAAATCTAGTGTGGAATCTGCTCTATGTGTAAATTGATTTGCATACTTCTACTTTGTAAATTTCTCATTTGTTATGCATTTCTAAATTTTTCTCAGTACATTGTTATCTCTTCAGTAAAAATGTTATATCTTTCAGTAAAAATGCTTCTCTAGTCTCCTTTAGTAGCTATCCTCATTCTTTATTCCTTTATGTAGCCAAAGAATGTATCCCCTTTCTAATCAAGGAAATACTTAACTATTCCTATTCTAGTGCAATTTGAAATTACTGTTTCATGTTCTGTTCTTGGCCTCTGACATCATTTTCACTAACAAATATTCTGAATGGATCTAGTTTATCATAGTATGGCAACTGGTAGTCATTCATATTTCTTTAAAAGTTTATACATGTAGGTGTTTATAAAGCAAATAAAACATGAAACCCTAACTACACCTACTTCGCTGGATTGTATCTTTTTACAAGGCAGTGGAGAATCAAGAAACTGTGTGTATATATATAAATCATATATAGATATACCTGGATTTGTGTCTTATGCTCTTGCATAAGAAAGCTGTATTTCTATACATGAACACACACATATATATCTATTTACGTGATAGAATCATAGATTGTCTTGGGTTGGAAAGGACCTTAATGATCATCTAATTCCAACCTTGGAATGGGCATGATATTTCTATTCTGGAGATATATTCTCCAGAACATGAACGTAGAAAGGTCTGTTGTTACCTTTAATATTAGTCACTTTCTCTGATTGGAGATTTGTTTATTTGTTCTTTTCCTCTTCTCTGTTTGTTTTTTTTTGTTTGTTTGTTTGTTTGTTTGTTTGTTTTCCTAAATCATTCTGATGTCGTTTTTAAAGTCTACCATGGAATAGAGTACTTTGAAATTAAGGTAAATTAAGGTAACTAATGCTGAATAGGAAAAATAGTAATTGCTGTGACTACAGATTTTTTTCAAAGTAGCATTTACTTTTGTGTCTTATGGTAGCATCACTAATTTTTGTTAGAATTAGTCAGTTAAAAGCCTCATAGTATCTGGAATAATTTTATTGCCTGCTTCTGAAAGCAATATATTCAGCATAGTTAATAAATACTGTAGAAGCAAGTTTTATTTTAGAAATTAGCTGTAATTTTTAATTAAATATTTCTTCAAGTATTTTATGTTTTTCTCAGCCCAGTGTGCTATTGACAAAAAACTGGTTGAGCACTGCAGAATTCTGCCTTGTTCAAAGTCCCTTTAATAGAAAAACTGTATTTCAAGAATCCTGTTGGAAAGATAATACTACATCTACAGATAATATAATACATCTATCTGAGATGCATTGTGGAATAGTTAAAAAGAGTCAAGTAATATAGGTAATAGAGTGAAGCTTGAGTAAGGCAGTGGATTTTTAGGAAGGCCTTTGTGTCAAAATACTGTCACATCCAGAGGGAATTTACACTGACCTGTTGCATTTTATAAAAAAGAATTTTGTGCGTGTGTTTTCCAAGAGGCAGAATTATAAGAATTTAGTAAGCAAAACTTTCATCATGTGGTGCATTCAGAACTAAGCTCCTATAGACTTGTGGTTTTAGTTTACTTTGTAAACTAAACTGGGCTAAACAATTACAAAGAAAATTGATAGTTAAACTAGTGAATAAATATAAAGAAAAATATAAAATGTTATCAAACAATGTATTTGAAAAATAATTTGTGACCAACTGAATTAAGACCATCAAATATTAGGGTAAGAATATTAGCTACAGATAAGCTGCTCTACAAAACAAGGAATTAACAGAAAATTGGAACCACCAGGACTATAATTACTCCCATCTTTGGTCTATTGAGCCCCTTAAATCAGTGTTCATCTACAATCTGAAGAGAGATGAGTTTTGTATTGTGCCTTGAAGATTGTCAAGTTGGACATAGACAGAAATAAGAAAACATCCAGTATTCTTTTCACAGGTCTGTGACAAGCACACAAGTCATATTTGGGCCAGAAACTGTTAGGTCAATCTGTGTACATTTACAGTGGGACAAAAGTGTTACTCAGGTAGTAAAAAACATTCTCGCTCAGCCAAGACATCTCTGTACCAGCACCCATATCCAAAATACTAGACAAATGGCTACCATAGAGAATTGTAGTAAGAATTATGTTCAGCATTGCCATCAATGATCTAGAAATAAAACAGAAAGTCATTGATAGTTTAAAACTGAGAATCACACACACACACACAAAATGATGGAGTTAAATAAGGATGAGTGCAAGGAAATAAAATGATTTCTTAGGTTCAAACCATTTAAGTAGAGCAGTTTAAAATAGAAAAGGAGGACATTTGCATGTATGTGAATTTGGAATGTGGACAGAATGTGGACAAAACAGTGTATCTGAAGGATTCACAATTCACGTTGAACAATTCAGTACTGTCATGGTAAAGTTCTCACTGCACTACTGTGCTATCCAACAGCGTGGAAAAAATGAAAGAGTGAGCAGGAGCATGAAGGTCAATTATTATTTCATATGATATTAATGAGACCAGTTCTGGGACATTGCACCGGATTCAGTGTCCAAGTTTTAAGAGGATATTAAAGCATTAGGAAAGGTACTCAACAAAGCCACTAAACCATGATCTGAGAGTTAGGGAAATTTCCTTACAGTAAGAGATGTTAGGAGTTCAGTCTGTTTAGCTTATCAAAAAGAGGATTGAAAAGTAACATGACTAAAGTGTTCAGATACCTCCAAGGGACAGAAAATGTTGGACATTTAATCTAAAGAGGAAAGGCAGAATAATCAATGAGAGACAGGCAAATTCAAATGGGAATTTAGGTACACAGTTTGAATAATAAAGGCAACAGTAGATGAAGCTGTAACATACCAGTACAGTATGACTTTCTGAAAGAAGCAATTTAGCAAAATTTAAATTACTGCTTTTCATATATAGGTAGGTTTGTGAAAAGGAATGAAAAGGAATATATAGAAGAGCAGGCTAAATTCAGAGTTGACATTACAAGTCTCATGCAGAAAAGGCAACCTTTAGATTGCCAAAAGATACATTATGGACTTGAAGAGATTAAGGAAAGCAAGCAATGGGAATAGTTCAAAGTAGAAAATAGCATCTTCTCAGGATCCTTCTACCCTGGCACTGGGTTGCAGGCTAGCAGGTGCTGGTACTGTAACCTGTAATCTGGGGTGTAGGTTACATGGAGTAATGCTGGCCCATTTTCTAAATTTCCTTTCACAGCTGATTTGACTTACCCAGCAATTGTATGACACCACCTCCCTGTTCAGTTTAGAATTAAGCCCCAGAAAGGAAAATGAACTTA